GTGTGTGTGTGTATGTATATATATACTGTATATTCAATGACCATTGTTCAATACAAACATATTTTTTTCTGCAATCATACATTATGGGCATAGTGAAAAGCACATTTATATTAATATATATATAACTTATTTATTTTTTATTTTTTTACTGTTTTCTTACAGTAAGTCTTGCACAAGTGTCGTACGGCCCAGGAGCAGCAGACGGGTTCATTTCATCAAAAACATGAGACAACACGATACCCGCAATGGAAGGTACTGCAATGAAAACATGAACAAACTAATTATGACAAATATCTATGAACCAATAATAGGGTAACACTTCACAGTAAGGTCCTATCAGGGTTATTATAGTTAAATAAAATTAAAACTATACCATAAAAACATTTTGTTAATTGAAACAATATTAATTTATTGTAAATTAACTTGATGTTCTAAAATAACTAAAACTAAACCTGAAATAAAAATGGATAAAAACTATAAAAAAACAAAAAAGACTAAAATGTTAATAATTAAAATGAAAATGGAAAATATAAAAATAAAAAGTAATTCAAACTATTAATAAAATCTACAATAGTATCATAAAGATACTAAAACAACCTATTAGTTAACATTGGTTAATGCAACCTAAGTAACAATGAGCAATACATTTATGGTATTTATTAATATTTGTTTACTTAATAAAATACAATTGTTCATAGTTCATGTTAGCTCAGGTCCATGAAATAATGTCACAACTTTTCTATATATAAAAATATATTGACATATCTTTAAAAAAAATAAAAAAATAAATAAAAAACAACAAAATTAATCAAATATAATCTAATATTAGCTGAAATAATTGTTAAATATGATCTAAAGCAACAATCGTTTGAATATAATTGTACTTCTGCGGTATTTATTTATTTCTGCGTCACTGGACTGAAAACACAGATCAAGGATCAAGTGGCTCTTCTGAGGAGAACAGCACATGCTTATGACAGCGTTTCTACACAAAAACTCTAGATAAAAACTTGATAAACTAATTTAGATATAAATGTGTTCAATTAAAAGGGAGGAAACAATATAGATTAAAGATCTGAAGTTTAAATGCTAATGAAAGAGAAAATGCATTTTACACTCATGAAATGGTGCCAGTCTTAACAAGAAGCAAATAAACTGTCTAATGTTTATGTTCCTGTAGGATAGTTTTGATCAGAGCCAGAAGAGCTGTATACGGGATGTTTTCTGTCCTGCCCTATCGAGACTTCAGCCAGATCAAGTGAGTCCTGCTCTATTTACATCAGATTTTGAATCTAGATAATCTCACACTCATCTGTTGTCTACAGCGATCAAAGGTTAGACTGCGGCCATCAGAACAACATCAGTGGAGCGACTCAAGACGCAGTGATGCTGATTGATGCTGTTGAACCTGGAGCCAAGGGTAAGGTGAGGTCCACTTGAGATTAAAATGACTTATTTGATCAGTGTAATATTGAGGTTTCATAACTAATATTTTGTTTCCCAACTTTCAGACAGTGTCGTACACAAAACTTCTGTCTCACACTAATGCCTTAAGCAGCAGCAGCAGCAGCGGCGGCTCTAACAGCTTCGCACTGCATTCTGGGTCACAGTGTGTTTTGAGTCCAGCATGTGTCCTCACTCAGACTGGCATAAAGAGAGGTCAGTGAGGAAGAGCATGTTCACATGTCAAATTGATCTTGCTGTCTTGTGTAGTTATTTTAATAACTAAATAAATATTTAAATATTTAGTGTTTTTGAGTGACATATCAATTTAGAATGAAAAGAATTTACTTTTTTTTTTTAGAAAAATTGTTAAAAAGTTCGAGAATTGTAAATTGTAAAATTAATAGATTTATACGTAAAACTAAGCTGCGCATCAATTTAATATGAATATAATTTAAATTTTTTCCTGAAAATGTTTATTTTTTTCTTTTTTGCCTGGAATTCATTTATTTATTCATTCATGTTTTTGAGTGTCAATTAAAAGCAGTTCATAAATTAAAAATGAATATATTTAAATAAAATTAAGATGTACATCAATTTAGGATGAAAATAATTTATATTTCTCATGAAAATGTTTCTTTTTTTCTGTCCAAGAATTTTTTTCTTTTAATCTTTTTTTATGTATTTCCAAAATTCCCTTCATTCATTCATTCGTTCATTCACTAATTTTTTTAAATTAAGCTGCATGTTAAGATTAAAAAATGTACCTTTTTTCTGAAAATGTTTATTTTTTTAAATAATTTTCTTTAGCTTTTATTTTATTTTTTTAATATCCAGAATTCCCTTATTTTTTTTAACATGCAGGATTCAAAGGGAAAAACATTGATGATTATGACCCGAATCTTCTGGATGATCCACAGTGGCCTTGTGGGAAACACAAACGAGTGCTTGTCTTTCCATCTTATACGGTGAGAGCAATCAGTCGATGCATATGAAGTTTGTCATACAAGAACATTTTTGTTCATAATGTTATTACTGTAACATTTTATGACAGTTTCACACCTGCCTTAAAAAATATACTAATGCTGCTTATGGAGGAAAAACTGCATCACTGTAATAAAAAAAAAACCCTCTCTTTTTGTATGGATGAAGTGCAGCATTTGAAACAGGCATTTTTTTTCCTAGAGATGTGTGTTGATTTTTTCAGACAACGGTCATTGAATACGTGAAGCCATCCGACCTGAAGAAAGACATGAATGAAACATTCAGCGAAAAGTTTCCACATGTTCAACTGACCCTCAGCAAAATCAGAAGGTACCGGCTTCCTATCACCCAACTTGAAAATATGAATATCTCGAAGCAATGCAATTGTATGTATTATTTTATTGTACTGTGACATTCTCAGTCTGAAAAGAGAGATTCGGAAATTGGCCCAGGAGGATTGTGGGTATGAGGAGCCGACGATTGCAATGGCTTATGTCTATTTTGAAAAGCTCGCCCTGCACGGTAAACTGGACAAGCAGAATCGGAAACTTTGCGCTGGAGCTTGTATCCTTCTCGCTGCCAAAATAAGCAATGACCTCAAGAGGCCAGAGGTCAAACACCTCATAGATGTACGTAAAGCTCTGCGACATCAATATCTGTTCCCTGATTTCTAATTCAATAAATGATTCATTCAGTTCTCACTGTGGACGTCCATTAGAGACTGGAGGAGCGACTGCAGCTGAATCGCAGGGAACTTTTATCACTGGAGTTTCCTGCACTGGTGGCGCTCGAGTTTAAACTGCATCTGCCACAGCGTGAGATCTTACCGCACTACAGACGCCTCTGTCAGACCAGATCCTCAAAACCCACCCTACTGCTGTTCAGTATTTAGATGCACTGCTTGTTTCGTAAGCTACACACTAAGAGTTAATAAAGATATCTAATATTGCTTCTGTGTTTTATGATTTCATTTTATTTTTCGGCAGAAAAAATGAGAAAAAACAGAGATGGTCAATGAAAATCTTTTATTTAGTATTGCAAAAACTGATTCAAAGAAAAGTTATTTCATAATTGAATACACGGGTCAATTTCATAATAGAAGCTTTAGAAATACAATATCATAAAACGTGGCTCCAAAATACAGTAAATGTGACCCTGGACAACAAAACCAATCATAAGGGTCAATTTTTGGAAATTGAGTTGTATACATCATCTGAAAGCTGAATAAATAAGCTTTCCATTGATGTATGGTTTGTTAGGATAGGACAATATTTGGCCGAGATACAACTATTTGAAAATCTGGAATCTGAGGGTGCAAAAAAATCTAAATACTGAGAAAATCGCCTTTAAAGTTGTCCAAATGAAGTTCTTAGCAATGCATATTACTAATCAAAAATTTAGTTTTAATATATTTACAGTAGGAAATTTACAAAATATCTTCATGGAACATGATCTTTACTTAATATCCTAATGATTTTTGGCATAAAAGTAAAATCTATAATTTTGTCCCATACAATGTATTTTTGGCTATTGCTACAAATATACCCCAGCGACTTAAGACTGGTTTTGTGCTGCAGGGTCACATATGTCAATCGGCTCAAACAGAATAATCACAGTACTTTTTGCAGGACTCAATTTTGGGAGTTATTTCTATATTTGAAAAACCCAGATACCCTAAAAAAATATTATAACCGTCAACCAACCTGCAATAATTATGAATAATGTTAAACATGGGCAACAAACATCTTTTATAAATAACACTAACATGTTTATGGTGACTGCCATTATGTAAAAATATTTTTTAAAACCTACATGAGAGTTACAGAGGGCTCATGTACCAATGTTATCTTATTGATTCTCATACAGAGATGTAAGGTGTGACAGTATTCAGGATATGATCCAGGACTCTCAAAAGTAAACTGCTGGACAATGATGTGCAAAAGGTCGAACACTAACAGCAGTTACAAATATTGCTGGTGAAAAATGCGTAATAAGTGCAAAACAGAAAATCTGTTACTATACAATACTGACTACAATAAACTGGCCATATTAAAATGTAGGACTAAAAGAATTATGGTAAATGGTAAACACCTGCTTTTTCCCTGCTATTTCTGGTTTAACATGTAACTATGGAAGCACGTTTCCACCATGGAATAAAAAATAAAAAGGTAACTGGCGACTTTTCATCCCACAATTCGCTTTTTTCTTGCAGAGTTTATATCTCACAATTCTGACTTTTTTCTTGCAATTCCGAAAACAAATATAAACGGATTTCTGGCTGACATTCTCTCAATTCTTAGTTTACTTTTTTTTTCACGACAGAAAAAAAAAAAAAAAAGTTTTATAAAAAATTATTAATAAAAAGGTAAATGTGACTTTTTATCTCACAATTCAGACTTTTCTTATAAAAATTGCAAGTTTATACATTAAAATTACAAGTTAACAGCTCACAATTTTGACTTATTTCTCAATTTTGTTTTACAGAATTGCGAGAAAACATAAAAAAAGCAGTTTTATTTATTTATTTATAAATATATTTTATTTTTAAACTCAAAATCAGCAAAAAAAAAAGAGTTTTGGGTGTAGCAAGGTGAAAATAATCTCATTGAGGCAATTGGCTTTGGTCAATTTATAAAGCCCCTATAAAGAGTTGGCGTGACTTATTTGGAAAATCTTCAAAGGCACTGGCCATATTCTTCAACAAACTTATTGAAATCTGTCTGAATACACCAACAAGGCATCCCCAGCATAGTTCAGGATGATGCTAATGAGAGAAACAAAAACAATATAACATTTATTTAATTATTCACTTGATACTGCAAGTAAATAGATAGCTTAAACTCAATATCTTAACATAAAACTGTTCTCACCAGCACAGAGTCACGGGGCTGAGCACAGAGTTGAATGCAGAAAGTAAAAGGGAAAGACCTGACGCCAGTATCTGCATGCAAGGAGAAAAGAAAACCATTGCATCATTTACATTTAAATTTTTGTGCTGCAATGCATGCGATGTGAAACCAGCCTTTTGCTCGAACAGTACTGACTGGACACAAATAAATGGAGACACTCAACAAAGGATAATTGTGGTTCAAAATATCATTTTCAGAGGTCTGTCTCACCTTAGCCAGGAAGAACCAGATGCCACAGTGCTCCTGAGACAGACTGCCCTTCAATTTCACGGTTGCCAACATCAGACAAAAGCTGAATATAGCGCTACGAAATGAAATTGATTTATAATGAGCTTAAGATTTGCACACACAATTAATTTCTTTCAACAAAATGGCAATGCATCACTCATTCTGGACTTTTTGCAGTTGAAATCCTTATTGTTAATATCCAACAAATCATGCTAACTTTCATGCATTAGTACATTTATGATTCCCACTGAATTTTCGTCTCACCTGCCCAAGCAGCCAGTATGGAACCTGTATGAAGTCAGGAGAGGGAAATCGAAGGCACCGGACAGATCACCTGAAAGACAAAACATCAAGAAGTACACATGAATCATGTCAGAAAATTACAGAGCTGTAGACAAAAATAATATAATAGTATAAAATGCATTTTATTACCTGTCGAGTATGCAAGAGAGGCAAGTAACAATGCACTAAAAAAGAAGTATAAAATTAGATGGGGTTGAAAAAATGACTACATATACTGTGTATATGTATTCAAAATTCATTTGTGTCAAAATCTGAGGTCGCATATAAAGGATGACTTTAAAGGGTTAGTTCACCCAAAAATGAAAATTCTGCACTTTTTTTAAACTAAATTTCAATATCGTGCTAATACCGCATACCGTGATAAAAGCATTAGCAATTAATCGCAACATGAAAAATTGATACCGGCATATCCCTACATCAGTGGTTCAACTGTAAAGTTACGAAGCTACGAGAATACTTTTTTGCGCAAAGAAAACAAAAATAACGACTTTATTCCACAATTTCGTCTCTACTGCGTAACTTTTGACGCGCGTTCACGACAGTATCATGACGCGAGCGTGTGGCGGCTACAGTTGAACCACTGATGTCACACGGACTACTTTGTCGATCATCTTGGTACTTTTCTGGAACTTGAACGTGGTAGTTACCTTGCTGTCTATGGGAGGGTCAGAGAGCCCTCAGATTTCATCAAAAATATCTTAAATTGTGTTCCGAAGATGAACGAAGGTCTTACGGGTTTGGAACGACATGAGGGTGAGTAATTAATGACAGAATTTTCATTTTTGGGTGAACTAACCCTTTAATTTTCAGATTTATCCATTTACCTGGTCATGTAATTGATGAACTGCTCTTCAAGATCACTATAACATTACACATTAAAAACGGCACTTATTATGCATCTACTTAGAGTTTAAAAAATGACAATATACAACATTCACAACCATTCTAAAAGTTTAGGGTCAGTACGTTTTTTTAATTTTTTTTTAAGAAATGAATACTTCTATTCAGTAAGAATGCATTAAATTGATCAAAAGTGACAATAAAAGACTTTTCTACTAAGTTTAAAAATGTCCCAATTTCCACAGAAACAAACATTGATAATAATAAGAAGTGTTTCTTGAGCAGCAAATCAGTATATTAGAATGATTTCTGAAGGATCATGTGAAATTCAGCTTTTCATCACAAAAATTTATTATATTTTACAAAAGAAATCAGTTATGTGAAATTGTAATAATATTTCACAATTTTGCTGACTTTTACTGTATTTTTGATCAAATAAATGCAGCCTTAGTGAGCAGAAGAGACTTCTTTGAAAAACATTTAAAAATATTACTGACCCCAAACTTTTGAACGATAATGTAAATAAAACATGAAAGCACCTCAGAAGGTTTGTCTTTGTGTTCTTCTGGAATACTTTATATGCACCTAAATTAGAGAAGAGATGAGATTAAAAACACACACAGGTAAAATGCACACTTTCATGTGACCAAATCTTAAGTACATCTCTGTAGGTTTCAGATCGTTACTCACAATTCTGAGTCCCACAACAAATAAATTCACACTCACCAACACAGAACAGATGGATGGACGCCCATGTGTAGCCACTGGGACCAAACTGAGATGTGAGACATATAGAACCATAAAGAGGACATATGAAATGGAGATTTTTACTGTCACAGGAAACAGAGATATTGATAACTCACAGAAAATCCCGGTGAGAGTGAACTTACCCGTGGATTGTATAGCATAAGGCTGCTGGCAGATCCCAACAACATACACACACTATAAAGAAAATAATTTCAACAACAAAAGATTCTTCTTCAGTATTTTTGTCTTGCTTTCTAGTACAAAGCAAAATCTTGGGGGTAAGCAGATAAACATCACATTTTCATTTTTGGGTGAACTATCCCTTTAAGTTATTACGTTTTGTTTTCTGAAAAAATGTATCAAAATGAAGTGAGTTTATGCTTAAAACAAGAATAAATATTAGCCAGTTGGGTAAGAAAAATAAACTACATTTTTAGTTTATAACTTTAATTTTTCTTACCACCTTGTTGGACTTTTTTCCTGTTTTAAGTCACTTAATTTTGATATTTTTTTCAGAAAACAATACTTATTACTCCAATACTTATTACTCCTCAAGTAACTGTATCTTGATTTAAGAATGTTTAGATATTTTTACTGGAAAACAAGGTAAAAAAAAAATCATTTTACAGTGCTGGTATTAATTAAAGAGCATAAACAAGCTCTTTTCAAGTCATTTTGGGCTACTTAGTTAAAAGAAACATACCTTATTAATTTCATCCATGGTGGTTTCTAAATAAAGCAAATATAAAGAAAATTAGAATGGTAGCATGACGGGCATTGAGATATGATTATGATATCTGAAACAGTATGAGGATACTATAGAAACGAGCTGTTTTATGATTTCTAATCCTACTAAATACATATAGAAAGGAAAAAGAAACATGCAAAAAATTGATTTTAGTTTGTTCCCACAAAATAGCAACTGAAATCAGACTTACCTCTCTGTGAGTTGCTGTTCCGATGAGAAAAGCAAAGACTTCTGAGACATTTTGTAACACGAAGAAAAAAGGAATGGGCTAAAAAAAGAACAAAGACAAACATATTTCAACATAAGCACACACAAAGGTTGCATGTTCAGTCCCAACACAGGAAAGACACTGAAGTTCATATTTCAGCATATATTTTGTACTTACCAAAAGTGACAGTGCTTTGGACCCTGCATAAATGTTACCAATAAATAAGAAGGACCCAGGAAGCTGGGAAAAAGCTGCAGATCTAAATAACAAACACATCAAGAGTACAGATATTAATAAACAGATCATAATAAAATGTATAATCCACAAATACTAATCAATGTTTTATATAAATTCACATTTAGTTACCTGGAAAAGCCATTGATTTCAACCCAACCCAGTTTCCATGTAACCAGTAGCAAGAGAGCCCCAGTGGAGGTCTGCCAACTGAAGAAAGTCAATTAATGATAAGCATAAATATTGAAATATCATGTAAATGAGGAACTGAACTTCAAACATAACCGAGTGATGAATACTTACCCCTGAAAAATGGTTGGAAATGTAAACTTTAAGATAGACAGGACATACTGTAAAGCAAAAAGCAATTCTACATTTTGTGTATTCTGGTACCTGTCAGCATTACTATCATTTAACAATCTAGGATCCACAGCTAAACCACAAAATGTATTTGAGAAAATGCATTATTGTAAATGCAATACAAAAACAACAGGACAAACACACATTGATGCTGTCAAAAGTACAGTAGTTAGTTTACCTTATTTGTGAAGTAAGATGCTGTGAAAAAGGTGCAGAAAACTAGAGCAAGAATCACTCGAGCAACATTCATTGGATTGGATGCACCAGTAACTTTGGTCTCACAGCTCCTCTAATACTCTTCTTTATTAATGTTCTGACATCTCATCTGTACTTCCGCTGTTCTGTAGGCCACGCCCACCGTGACACACAGCCCATTTTTAGCCAATAAAAGCCTCAATGAAATCAATTCTAAATGGTATAGTGAGCAACAAAAATTGAGATTACCCGGAAAATATAATAATATTTGAGCACTTATCATATTATATTATTTTATTCTTATTACTGATACCAAATAAAATATTTTTAACACGAATTTATTCTGCCATTTTATTTTTATCTTTATTATCGCAGAGTATGAAACTGTTAATAAATGTAGAATACTCAACCATGACAGGAATAAAAATTTAATAATGAAATTTGCAAAAAAAATATGATTAATTAGATAATTATATTCATAAAGTGATCGCTTTCTATCATGAAAGGAATATTTAAAAAAATTAATTGTTTCGAATGACAAAAATAGAAAATAAAAATCTCAAAAGACTGATTTTGTTTTACTATTTATGTTTTCATAACATAGGATATTATCGCAGAGTATGAAACTGTTAATAAATGTAGAATACTCAACCATGACAGGAATAAAAATGTAATAATGAAATTTGCAAAAAAATATGATGAATTAGATAATTATATTCATAACGTGATCGCTTTCTATCATGAAAGGAATATTTAAAAAAATGAATTGTTTCGAATGACAAAAATAGAAAATAAAAATCTCAAAAGACTGATTTTTTTTACTATTTATGTTTTCATAACATAGGAGAAAAAGAAGTGATAATAAGGAAGGCTTTGTTTTCGGAGATCCCATTATTTTATTATTATTATTTTCATATATAAAGTAAATCACTATAATAAAACTACTACAAAATAAATCACTATATTTTTTTTATTTGACTTTTATTTTGAAAAACCGAGTCATGACGTCATATAGGGTTGTCCCACCAACCGTTGTAGGTCACATCTATTTTTATGTGACACATTGTCGGTAACGAATTAACTCGTCGTTTTAAACCACGTTTTAGCGGTTTTGGTCAAAAAATAGTCATAAGTAGTGTTACATATAAAATTAAAGTCGATATTAACGAACGTTACACGAGTTTTACTCTAGTAATCTACGCGATAAAGTGTTACAAGCGTCTCGTTACTAACGTTAGTCTGTTTGAATCTAAACCTCCTGTCAACCAACATGGACCAACTTGAAGTAACTACAAAAGAAACCAAGGTGAGATTTCCTAAGTTTTATGTCACATTTAGACAGTCGAAATATGTGGAAAACCTCCGGCGAGTGGTAAAATATGAGTTTGTTTAATACAAGGCCTGCCGACCATTATACAACAGAAGAGTGAGTGGCACGTGACGACTCAAGTCTGACCACTGCAGAGATTAACTTTACCCAGTTATAGAACAATATTGTTGATTAATCTGGTGCCAAAGTTTATGGGCGAGGTCATCTTCAGCATGTGGACTTTGAAACTCTTGATCTGGACTCGAGTCATCATTTTGTAGGGTTAAGTAGGTCAAATAAATATTGCAATACTTAAGAACAGTTTTAGTTTAGTATCATTTAATATACACTATTTTGGTAGTTATTAATATATTGAATTGCCTTTTATTTTTATGTTTTCAGTTTTAATTTTAGTTTAGGTTTTAGCAGTTTTCTTCTTTTGTACTTGAGATTTTGTGCTTGTGTTTTTGTAATTCTAAATGGTGTGTATTTAATTTATATTTAGTTTTTTTATTATTTAAGGTTTAGCTTTAGTAATTTGAATACTTTAATTTAATTAAAGTATTTATATTTTGTTTGATAGCAGCATTATTTCATATTGTTTTTAGTAGTCTTACAAATATATTTATACATATATAACTGTATATATTTCTGATATAATGTTTATGTTAAATATTATTTAAATATTTTATTTTAAATATAACTATATGCACTGTAGTTTTAATTTTAGTTTTAGGTAACAATGATAAAACTGTTTGAGAGTTCACATTGCTTTCCCGTCACTCTGTATTAAAAGAATTTATATACATACTGTGGGTATAGAAAAGAATCACCCCCTTTAAAATCTGAAATGAAGACGGACACAGTTTTGTTTTATCCAGCTGTATTTACATAGTGCAACTTATAACATCCAAGTGAAAGATATAACACCAACATGTCAGGAAAAAATAAAAAAAACAGAATCACTGAGTTGGAAAAGGATCACTCCCTTGTGTCAGTATTTTGCTTTAATTACAGCCATTAGTCTGTTGGGATATGTCTCTACTAACTTGTAGACAAAATTTTCATTTTTGGGTGGAAAATCCATTTAAGTTAAAATACTATTCATGGCACATGTGACAGGACTTTTATTCTGCTTGTCAGCTGCTGATGGTGTTATTTGTTGGAATGTGAGCCTAACTTCTGCTGATAGAGTGTATCAGTCGTTCATGTCTGTGTGTTGTGTTATTTTTCAAGAGCCCATGGGGCGCTCCCGTCCTGGCACCAGCGCCCTGCTCTCTGGCTGATGTGATGAGTGAGCAGCTGGCCCGAGAGCTGCATGAGGAGGGCATTCCTTTCCCAGAAATCCCAGAGTGAGTCTCACACACACCTACATATCAAATTATTAACACTGTTACGAGTCTAGTAGCCCACTGTCTTTGGTTTGGATTACTTTTTTTATATAGAAACAATAGTAATACATGATATAGTCACTTGGAATAAGCATTTTTAGTACTTATTGTCCATTTAATTGTTTTTTTACTCAAGCGCTATGTGTTTAACTTATCAACACATGCTTGTTTGACTACGAAATCATTAATCTGGCATTTAAACTCTAAGGCAGCAGAGGTACTCTGACAAAATGTTGTTTGAAGCAAGTTTGTCATCATTTCTGATGGTGAAAACATCTTTTGTATGCATTTACGTCCTATTATTTTCAGTACCGATCTGGACCTGACCTGCACTCCTGAAGCTGACACGTCCAGCGACCTGATGCTGGCCCAGATGCTTCAGATGGAGTTCGATCGCGAGTTTGATACGCAGCTGCGCAGGGAGGAGAGGAAGTTTAATGGAGACAGCAAAGGTAAAACAAGAAATGAAATTTAAAAGAATGTATGTTTTCATCTGCTGGACTTTTGGATATTATACAGTATATATATATACAATAGAAATATATTACTATTGTACAATAGAATGTACTTTTCTAATTAATAATAATAAAATTAATTGGTAAATAATAATAAAATTAACTTTATTTTTTAATGAGTATCACACAATTTTTATTTTTTTAAATGTAATTTTAACAGAAAATCTTAGTTTTGCACTGTGCAGCACTTAAAAGTAATTTTTATTTAATTTCATTTTAAAAGATTGATTGTTAATGTTTTATTCCTTCATTTCATTACCATGGTTTTTGCTAATAAATTTGTATTAAAATTTAAGGAAATTAAATGAAACATTTACTTTTGGCTCTATTATTAGAAAAAAATTTAATAAATTATTAAAATGTTAGTTTTATCAATTCAAGTTTATTAGACTTGCTTTTTGATTATTAAAATGTATTAAACCATAAAATGGAAAACACAACATTTGGGGAAAATAAAGCAGATTTTAATAGGACCCTAAAAATGTAATAAAAAAAAAAAGAAAATTTAGTTTAACCATTAAAATGGAATCCAGAGAAATGAAATTGAGGGGAAAAAAAAACAGAATCCAGAAAAATTCATATATATATATATCATTTATTTATTTTTTTTTTCATTTCCAGTCTCCATATCCTTTGAGAACTACCGCATGGTTCATCCATATGAGGACAGTGACAGCTCTGAAGATGAGGTCGATTGGCAAGACACTCGCCATGATCCCTACAGAGCTGGTGAGCTTGTTTGTGCTACATATAAAATCATATTTTTATATGTCCTTAGCAGTTAATTTTTTTTTACCTGACTGCATTTGATTTACTAACTCAGACAAACCAACAACGACCCCTAAAAAGGGATTTGTTGGGAAAGGCAAAAACATCACCACAAAACATGACGAGGAAGTCTGTGGACGGAAGAACACGGCACGCATGGACAATGTAAGGCTTGTTCACGCTTTATCCAGAATGACATCTTGAATTGTTTTTTTCAATCTTTTTAATCTCTGAATGTGTCTACGCAGTTTGCTCCAGAGGTGCAGGTGGGAGACGGGATCGGCATGGACCTGAAGCTCTCCAATCATGTGTACAACGCTCTGAAACGCCACTGTTACACAGAGCAGCGCCGTAGCGCTCGACTTCATGAGAAGAAGGAGCACTTATATATATCATTTATTTATTTTTTTTTTCATTTCCAGTCTCCATATCCTTTGAGAACTACCGCATGGTTCATCCATATGAGGACAGTGACAGCTCTGAAGATGAGGTCGATTGGCAAGACACTCGCCATGATCCCTACAGAGCTGGTGAGCTTGTTTGTGCTACATATAAAATCATATTTTTATATGTCCTTAGCAGTTAATTTTTTTTTACCTGACTGCATTTGATTTACTAACTCAGACAAACCAACAACGACCCCTAAAAAGGGATTTGTTGGGAAAGGCAAAAACATCACCACAAAACATGACGAGGAAGTCTGTGGACGGAAGAACATGGCACGCATGGACAATGTAAGGCTTGTTCACGCTTTATCCAGAATGACATCTTGAATTGTTTTTTTCAATCTTTTTAATCTCTGAATGTGTCTACGCAGTTTGCTCCAGAGGTGCAGGTGGGAGACGGGATCGGCATGGACCTGAAGCTCTCCAATCATGTGTACAACGCTCTGAAACGCCACTGTTACACAGAGCAGCGCCGTAGCGCTCGACTTCATGAGAAGAAGGAGCACTCTACTGCTGTGAGTAGTTTTTCCCTTTTAAGAGCTCATTTTTATTTTATTTGTTTTTTTATTGTAGGGTTTTCCGACTCAACACACTGTAAAAGAAATCTATAGAGCCCAACCCATTTTTATTTATTTTATTTAGTTTTTATTTTTCATGTTACTTTTTAATTTCATTGTATTTTTTATTTTTATTTTATTTTATTTTCGTTTTTATGTAATGTAAATGTAAGTAATGTAAAGAGCCCAACCCATTATTTATTTCATTTTTATTTTAGTCATTGTTTTTTATTTTAAGGGTTTCAAACTCAACTCACTGCAGAAGAAATGTAATGTGTCCACTTGCATGTGTTGACTGTACATTTCATGTTCTCTTTTGCTCAGGAACATGCTGTGGACCCCAAGACCAGACTGCTCATGTACAAAATGGTGAATGCTGGGATACTGGAGAACATCAATGGCTGCTTCAGCACAGGAAAAGAGTCGGTGGTTTTCCACGCTAATGGAGGGAGGTGTGTGCTTTGCATCATTGTGTGTGCAACTCGCTAAAGGCTTACAATTAGTGATGCACCGATACTGGTATCGGGCCCGATACTGAGCTCCTGTACTCGTTAAAATGCCCCGATACCAAACGCCGATACCACACAGCATGTGATCAGCGCCATATTCAGACAAAGAAACACCGACAACAGACAGCAGAATGGAGTTAAGGATGTCTACTACGAAGTATATGTATGCAATGAATATAACGTTAAACATTCAGTATTAACTCCTATATAGCTGATGTGTGCGAGCTGATAAACAAAGCACGCTGAGTGGATTGAGCGCTCAGCGGCGCAGATGTGCGAGCTTGTCGAGGGAATATACCTTTCTCACAGACATCACTGGAAAGTTTGTAGTTCGGTCGGATACAGTGAAAGTAACAAAAACTTGTAAAATACATTTTAATGGGTATAATTAAGTGTGAAAATAACCGAAGGATGTAGTCAAACCAAAAATGATTCAGAGACCAGATATAATTTTTTAAAGTACCAAAAATAAAAGTATCGGTATCGGGCGAGTACTGGAAAAAGTGGTATCGGTGCATCCCTACTTACAATTAATGCAAGTGTGCATTTATTATGCAGCTTTAATCTCAATGTGTCTCGTGTAGCTTTGAAGAGAAGATTGTTCCTGAAGAGTGTGTCCTCAAGGTATTCAAGACCACCCTGAATGAGTTTAAGAACCGGGACAAATATATCAAAGACGACTACCGCTTCAAAGACCGCTTCAGCAAGCTGAATCCTCGCAAAATTATCCGCTTGTGGGCTGAGAAGGAGATGCACAACCTCACCAGGTGTTAAACAGATTCATTTCAGTGTACAAGACAAATATTTGACATTTAAATATGACACATGTGACTGTGATTAAATGACTTAGATACATAAAGATGACACTACAACATAATATTCTTTAATCTACTTTTTCATGCCATTTTTTCCCTCTTGCACACATAAATGTACATGTAGGATGAAGAAAGCAGGGATCCCGTGTCCGGAGGTGGTGATTCTGAAGAAGCATATCCTAGTGATGTCATTCATTGGAAAGGACCACGTTCCTGCACCTAAACTAAAGGACGCTACTCTGAGTTCTGAGGATATGAAGAAAGCATACTACCAAGTGCTAAATGTGAGTGTACTGAAAAAGTAGAATAATCACACGAGCTTTGCTATTGTTAAAAGGGTATTTGGTAAAAAATAAGAAATTATATTTTGCATACTTTAATTTGTGGCGATTTAAATAAACAGAGACGTTACTGTGTCCAGATTTTTGTTACTTTATTACAGTGCTTAATTGTCATGAAAATAATGGTACTACTTCTGTGCAATATAATGTCTTATTTCTGTTTAAATTTTTGGGGTAAAATATGACTTATATTTATGATATTTGTTATTGATATTCACCTCTTAATCTCTGTCTCACAGATGATGCAGCAGCTATATCAAGACTGTAACCTGGTTCATGCAGATTTGAGTGAATACAACATGCTCTGGCATGACGGACAGGTTTGTTTTAAGCTAGTCCAAACATTCTTGGTAGCACATCTGTATAAATTCTGCAGAAAGAAGCAAGGCTACTCATGTTTTCATTAACTACACTACCGTTTAAAACATAAAGTCTCTTCTGTTCACCAAGGCAGCATTCACTTGATCCAAAATATGGTAAAAACTGTTTTCTATTTGAATATCTTCTAAAAATGTAATTTATTGCTGTGATCAAAGCTGAATTTTCAGCATCATTACTCCAGTCTTCAGTGTCACATGATCCTTCAGAAATCATTCTAATATGCTGATTTGCTGCTGAAGAAACATGATTATCAATGTTGAAAACAGTTGTGCTGCTTCATATTTTTGTGGATACTGGGATACATTTAACTTAAGAATTTTTTTTTTTTGATGAATGAAACATTCAAAAGAACAGCATTAAATTTAAAATAGGAATGTAATAGCGTTATAAATCTATTTACTGTCCCTTTTAATCAGTGTATTGCATCCTTACTGAATTAACTAGTATTATATATGAAGTATTATTATTTCATTTATTTATTTGTTTAGTCTTACTAACCTCATGACACCTTAAAGTCAGTTTTATTTATTTATTTTATTTTTTTCCTTATGAAGGTGTGGTTCATTGATGTGAGTCAGTCCATAGAGCCCACTCACCCTCACGGGCTGGAGTTCTTGTTCAGAGACTGCAGGAATGTGGCCACAGTAAGTGTCCGAACTATCTTGTGGTATAATAAAGAGCTCTATAATAGCTCTAAAGCAAGGTTGTGATCATTAATGAATGCTATTTTCTTCTCTCCAGTTTTTCCAGAAAGCTGGTGTGGCCGAAGCTCTCAATGTATTTGAGCTGTTCAACACCGTGTCTGGACTGCAGATCAACAGCGATAATGAGGCTGATTTCTTAGCACAGGTCTGGAATTAAGTTTCTTTTTTTAAGTAATGTTTATTACTTGCAATCTGCATTTGCAAAAAAAATATATATATGTATATATACAGTATATATAGTACTGTGACTAATATGACGAATAAGAAAGGTTGTGTATATGTGGTTTAGATGCATGTTGGTTTATTAAAGATCCAACTAATTTTTAAAGGGGTCATGGACTGCCTTTTTTATTATTTCGTACTGTTCTCTGAGGTCCACTTATAATGTTATCAAGATTTGTACATCAAAAAACATCATGATTTTGAAGTAATAGGCTGTTTTCTGTCCTGTTTTCGCTCTGTTTGAATAGGTGTGGTGGATTGTAGAATCGGAATTAAACGCCCACTGCTCCGATTGGCTAACAGCTGTGTATGTTTGACAGCTACATCCTTCATAAATACTCGGCACATATCAAACGATCTGTAATAACAGACAAAGCAATAGTGATCACATAATACAGTTACTCACACTTGTGTGGTGCGACATTACTGTCAGATCCAATATATTCGGCACAGCATCGTCTTTTAGTTTCAATCTTTCTGATAATCCTGCGTCGAATTGTGCCTCGTTTGTAAACGAATCTGCAGTAAAATGAACAATGGACCAAGTTCTTACTGATGCGGTCTGGAACTTCAGTCTGGATCAGAAGGAAGGTGATGCAAAGACTGTGTTTTTCCACAACTTGGCTCTGCACAGCGTCTTGTTGTCTTCGGAGCATCTTTGTCGTTTAATGTCTGTGTAGACCTGCGTTTGCCTCTCGTTATTTACACTACATGCGTGAATCGGTGGGCGGGGCTAAACAGGCAGTGATGTAGAAGCAGGCGTTTATCTTCTGCGGAGGTGGGGTTTAGCCACACTATTACATCATAAAGTGGCACATTCCACAACCTGTCGTTTTGGCAGATTGGCTTCAATATAAGCTGTTTTTAGGATGACGTTTTGAGTTCTAAAACTTACAAGTTGTTTTTATAGTACAATGACCTCTTAGATGTCAAAAGATCAAGGGAATTTTGATTTCTCAGTTCATGACCCCTTTAAAACTTCATTGTTAAAAAGCAATTGTGTTGTATATTTTTACAGATTGAAGCCCTGGAGAAAAGAAATGAAGATCATGTGCAGAAATCCGGCAAGAAAATCTTCACAGACACCAATGATGGCAGCCCACCCCGATTAAACACTGATGATGATTAACACAAGCACAATAGTCATTTGAAAAATAAAGGAGAGAAAATCCCTCCATTCACAAATAAGGTGTGGAATGGGACGAACGCCCATGTCCATGTGAAATACTCGCGCCATCCTTCTGCTGTTAACGCGTTTGCTCGGTGTTGAAAAGTAACATGTGGTCATTTGAGACATCAAGCATAACCTGACATTTTTAACAGACAGTTTTGGATGATGGTTAAAAACAAAGAAAATATAAGGAAACCAGTAACTATAGAGACAAATGCAATGTTTTACAATTGTGTGGTGTTAAAAATGTGTCTCCTTCCACAATAAGAGCAAGCAGAGAATGAAGATCTCTGAATGCTCTGAATTGGTGTGTGATTTGAGCTTCAGTAATGAGCAGAACTCAGGACACTGATCCAGTCTGTTCATCATACAAATGACAGCCTGGGGTTTTTTTATGAAATCATTTTACTGCTAAGATGACTATTGTTGTAGATTTGCAGTCTTTGAGATCTTTTGTAAAATCAAGTAAAGATAAAATTAAACTGCTGAATTGCATGCTTTGAGTTCTTCTTTCTTGACGACCTTGTTCTTTAGCTGAGAACATATTGGCACTAAATACAGTTTAAAGGAATAATTCACCCAAAAATGAGAATTTGCTGAAATTTTAGTCACCCTCAGGCCGTCCAAGATGTAGATGAGTTTGCTTTTTCATGGGAACAGATTTGGAGAAATGTAGCGTTACATCCCTTGCTCACCAATGGATCCTCTGCAGTGAATGGGTGCAGTCAGAAACTTTTTTAGCAAATTGAAAAGAGTATGTCACACTAGACATACCTAAGAATCAGTGGAAGTTTTAATCCTTATATAGTAGTATATTTACTCTTGTTATATTTTCACAGAATAATTTGACCTTTGAGTTGAACAGAATATTTATTAGCATGTGACATCTAATGGCGGGATGTTGGAACTACAGGTTCAGATATGATGGCAGAATGTGGTGAAATGTTATTAGACTGTTATTTTGGCCATAGTTTCATACTTGCTTGACATTTTATCCATAAAAAGGTAAATTCAAAGATGTACTAAAAAAACCTCGAACTAAAACTGAAATAAAAAAAAATAATAATAAAACCTATATACACATTAAAAAAATCCAAATTAGTAAAACTATAATAGTATCTCAATAATGCTAAAATAACACTGGTCACTTAGTCACATCTAAAATTGTCTTTGTACTTCATTATGAAATTATGATTTACAATTTTATACTTATTAAAATTTCTATCTTCATCGATCTATATTTGCTGTATCTCGTGATGGAGAATCTGTCATTCCCAGAGCTGCAATTGGAGAACGTAAACAGAAAAGTTTTTTTGCTGATTCGTTTGGTACTCTTCCTGAGGTCAACATGAAATGCACATCCTTCATGTCAGAAGTTTTAAAAACAATACATAGAAAAGTAGGTTTGATGCATCTGCATTTAACCCTTAAAGGTAGGGGAAGTCGTGGCCTAATGGGGGTGAAGTCGTGGCCTAATGGTTACAGAGTCAGACTCGTAACCCAAAGGTTGTGGGTTCGAGTCTCGTACCGGCAGGGATTGTAGGTGGGGGGAGTGAATGTACAGCGCTCTCTTCCACCTTCAATACCACGACTGAGGTGCCCTTGAGCAAGGCACCGAACCCCCAACTGCTCCCTGGGTGCCGCAGCATAAATGGCTGCCCACTGCTCCGGGTGTGTGTTCACGGTGTGTGTGTGTGTTCACTGCTGTGTGTGTGCACTAAGGATGGGTCACCATACTTGGCCACATGTCACGTCACTTCACTTAACCTTGTTCTACACTATACTATATGTAGTATATACCCACTAAAAACTTTAGAATAAAATGTTGTCTTGGATGCATGAGATATATTTGATATATTTGCATATAAGCTGTTATGCCTCTAAGACTATTTCCAAAAAAAAAAAACTTGAAACTTGCAAAACACTATATTTAGGGGCTTGTATAGGGACAAGCTGTTGAATAATTGTGTCCCATAATTCCATCAATTTCTACTTTCTTCCCCATTCCTCAAACATCTATCTGCATATGTGTGATATTTTCCCATGACAAAAAATTACTAGGACAGTGTGTTTGTGTGTAATCATATTACAACCTGTCTCATCTTCACCCTTTAAAACTGCATATTTCAGCTAATATCTTCTTTAATTACTCTGTTTATGCTATTATGCTTCCTAGAAATCGTGTGACTTTTACATTGTCTTACTCAAATAACAATTTCACTAATTAGATCTCTTTAACATCTCAAGTTGTTTCTCCCATAGACAAAACAGAGCACAAATTGAGACATCCATATTCATTTTATAGCTCTGTACTCTTAATGTATTATTATTTGTCCAAAGAAATTTTAGAAGTAACATTTGAGACAAAGTTGATTATATGAAGCATAACAGAATTCCATAAGACTCCATAAGCTATAATATCTGAGCAATAATAACAATAAGTTAATTTATTAATTAATTTATTAATATTTAACAATGCCTATATCCAGTTGTGAAGTAGGTGAATTACTCAAATTATTGACTAATGACTAATTTCACACCTGCTAGACACTTTATACCACTCAAAGACACTTAAAGGCATTTAAATCCGGAGCACTAATTCCTTTCGAATTAAGCATTTTATATTTATAAGACATTGCATTGATTTGACAAATAACACACACATGCATAATACGTATATGCTGCTTCTTTGTGATATATGGTGACCTGAAATGCAAGAGGCATCTATAATATATATGCAAATCTGGCAAAATATGAGATTTACATTAAGCCAAAGAAACCAAAATAATCCCAAGCAGCCCGACAGGCTCATCCACATTATATATGTCACACACCCATGAGCAGAGAAAACAGTTTCAGTTTTAAGTTTTAATGTCTGCAGAGTTTTAATATAGTTTTATCTCTACATAGTTTTCTGTCTGTGAGAACAACACATTTGTGCATATTTTCATGGAAACTGTGTTTATCATTTCTTTGTTGTTTTTGGCTTTAGGTTACAAGCCATGTGTGGAAGCCCTGCCCACTTCATCTATGTGAGTTTAACTTGTACATTTCCCCCTCAAACCATTTCTATGATCGACCTGATGACATCTGCTGTTTCCTGTGACATGAAGTAGAACGAGAACGCTGCCGAATGAAGCAGTGAGAGAAACAGAAGGAGACGTGCAGATCTGAAAGAAGTTGAGAAGAGGAAGAGACAAAGAGTATTGAAATTGATTAATCACAGTATAATAATGGCCTTTATTGAAAAGGGTCAAAAGAAGACCTACATTTCAACATTCAGGTTTGACCTGAAGTCTTCAGCAGCATTGCAGACTCCACTGGATGTGCCGAGGAGAACAGAGAATGGAGTCAAGCCGATGAACAGAGAGCAGAGCTGTCAGAAATCAGGCAAATCAGGTGAGAGATATTTCTACCGTGACGTGTTGCACTTTACTAATTCCCATAGATGAATCATCTTTAAACCATTTTTAAACTTCATCATCATCATCATCTTTAAACTTTTTGAAAGTCTCTTATGCTCACCAAGGCTGCATTTGTTTGATCAAAAATACAGTAAAAACCGTAATATTGTGAAATATTATTAGGATTTAAAATAACTGTTTTCTATATGATCCGTAATTATGTCCCCACTGGATGCAACAAATGCCTCGTTATAATGGGTTTCGTGTCGCTCCGGCCGGACAGGACATCACAGTATGTTAAGGGGCTTAACATTTCCGTCACACGCTTGAGGAATTCGGACAATCACAACGCACTGGATAGCTGGCCAATCAGAGCACACCTCGCTTTTTCAGACCGATGAGCTTTGTAA